TGGACCAGAGAGTGGGATTGAAAGTGGATGAGGTGCCTGGGTAAAGTAAACATCCTGGCTAGGTAAAGAGACTACCACGGACATGAATTTGAAACTTTTGCTGTAACCTGCACAAAATATTATCTTTCCCACACTCGAGTCTAGGGACACACATCTATCCAGTTCCTAGGGCTCAAGGTGTAACTCTGTTAATTTAAATAACCATCCCTACCCAGTTCTGAGGGCTCAAGGCGTGACTTCTTGTGGGTTTGCAGGATCTTTTAGTAGTGAAAGCCTTGCACAATAATATCCTACTCTCTATTAACAATTACCTAGCAAGCATGCTAAGCATACAGTGGCATGCTCACCAATCCTGATCAAGGCAGGTGAGCTTCTCCTGTTGATCAAGCAAGGTCAGCCTCATCTGAATTCTGGTTGCTGCATGTCATGGTCATGCAGAGGATTCTTGGCAGCTCTGGTCTTAGGCTATGTCTCTTGGAAAGACCTGGAAGAAGAACATCTCTCCTCCTCCGCCCCCCCCCTTCCATTCTTCTTTTCATTTATTCCTTTCTGCTGGTCTCCTTCTTAGATCCCATTTGATGTAGTGAAACTTGAGTCCTGCTTAGCTATACAGTAGCCAATTATTTTACTAACCAATCATAACCTATTCTAAAAGAATTACCTTACCACTCATACCCTACCCCCTTACTTGATTTGCACCTAGCAAAATTAATTATATAGCAGACAAACTATTAAAAATCAGATACAATATTACAATAGGAAAGTGAGGGCCATAATCATAAAATGAGTATTCTACAATCCCAACTATTGTTTCTTGCCAAACCGCATGCTATTAAACTAAATTTTCTTGATCCATCTTGAGATTTGTTTCTTTATCTGATTGTGAGTGCTATTTGGACAGGATCTCTTTCTAAACAGCCTGGTATTGCAATATTTTAATGCAACTTAGTTGGAATGTGAGTGTGTGACTCTCTGCTTTATAGCAAATGACTGCTATTCTTTCAATCTGGCTGCAGATGAAGTCCTAAGTTTTAGGCCTTCCAATATGGCTACAGAAAGACTTCACTGTGGGGTGGATTTGAAATGGTGATATGTTCAAAGTCAGTTGGACCAAATTAGTAACACCCACAAATGTTGGAGTAAAAATTAAAATGTCTTATGATTTGCAGAGAGAGTAGTATATATAGGTCCCAAAGTGAACCTTTTTAAAGGAAATTCCATCAGATGTCATAAATGTAAATAGCTATTTTTATATTTTAATGTAATTATTTCCTTTCCTAATGACCAGCAATAAGTTTGGGTCCTAGCAATTGGAACAGTATTTGAGATATCTCTTTACTGTGAGCATGTGCAGCTGAAGTTACTGATTCAAGAAAAACTGCATTGCTCTGCAGTGTGGGAATTGGATTAGTGTCTCCCACCTTTTTGCCAACCCCTACATTGAGGTAGGAGTAGATAGCAAAGGTATGCCACTGAAGGTGGTGCTGGCTGGGGCCTTTGAGCTTAGTCTATTTGCTCAGAAGTTAGGCTGCCATGTGGTTTATCTCTAAAAAACTGTTAGAAAGACCAAACTGTGATTCTATCCCTTTTCTGTTTGGATACGTCCCAGTTTTTCTACTTTAACAAGAGAATTGGCATTTGACAGGAACAGCTGAAGGTGCAACTAGATAGTTTTGAGTAGGAGAAATGGAACTTGTTAAAAGATGGAAAGATTAAAAAAAAAGGATTGCGACTTGTTGGAGCTGAAAAGGTGAAAGTCAGATTTGGGGGATTTAGCATATAAAGCCTCAGCATGGTATCGACTTGCCAGGAATCTAGCCTTATCTTCCTTCAGTTACATTTGTGGAGACGTAACAGCTGTTTTTTGGCATATTGTAAGCACTGTAATGAAAATTGTATATGTCTTCAGAGTAGCCCATACTTGTCATCTTACAGTACTGCCAGGAGAAAAATTGACATATTAATGATCAGTTTATTAAATATTTTTACTGGTGTACTGATGTCATGTAGTATTCCATGAAAAAAGGATTTGGAGAACTAGTCCCAAGTTACTTGTAAATACTTAGTGAGTCGAAGTCCTCTTATCTTTGGAATTTTTCTCTGTAGTTTCTTGCGCTCATCTCTGCAATTTCTCTCCTTTTTTAAAGCTAGGAAGGCTTTTCTCTGAAACCTATTAAACATGATTACTTTCTTCCCCCTTAAATGGTGATTTTTAAAAATATGTAAACTCTGGACCTTTCAGTTCATCTTCATAACCTATGCAATAGTACAGAAGAGATGTCTTTACACCTTATGTGTAAATGAATTGGCTGGCTGACTACATGATGAACTGTATGAATTGTAAAATAGAGATATACAGACAGTCCCCGGGTTACGCGGATCCGACTAGGCTGTTCTTGCCCCGGAGGACGCGGGGTGCGGGACTGCTCAGACGCTCAGCTAGTGCGCCTCCGCGCCCCCCCCCCCAGCAGACCAGGCTTTTCTCGGGGACGCCTGTGTTAGAGCAGCTGGGGCGCTGCTGGTTGGTCCCGCAGAAGAGAGTGATGAAGAGTTGTCTTTCAAAAGGTTGTACAGTCAAGCTATCTAAAGAAAGTGTTTAAGCACTGGGCCAGAATCAAAAGGATCCTGGACCATCTACCAATCTAAGGAGAATTTTTGGATGAACAGCAAATCCACTTCACCTTTGGGGATATTGGAGGATAGCGCAGCATAATCTATAGAAACTGGAGCATTAGAGTTGCCCTGATGCACTGTCAAAATAAAGATTAGGAGCTGGGTGAAGAGGAAGCACAGTAACTCATGCAGATTCTGTCATGCGCAGAAGTGAGAAGCCAGTGCATAGCCTTAATTGATAAGCTATTGCCAGAGCTAAGGGATTTTTTTATTCTAGAATGAGGTTGAGAGGAATGACTAAAAGGCATCAGCTAGGTTCAACAACTGATGTGAAATGCTACCACAACATACTAATGCAAGCTAAACTCAATGTTTTTACTGTTTTAAAGATATTTTCCTGAGTAATACCACGTAGTTATTCAGGAAAATATTCAAGGGTAACCAAATCAATTGGTAATTATGAAATGCAAATGTCTTGTTTTGAGTGACCATTTTGTCTTTCAACTAGTTAATGGTTTTCTAGTTCATTTGATGTGTTTGTATATTAATATAAAAAGTAATTGATTTGCTTCTCCTTGGGCATTGTGTAAATAGTGGGGATAATACACTGGTAAAAGTGCGTGTTTTAAAAATAATAAAAACTAATGTTAAGCCTTTTGCTGTAGACTAACATTGATCAAGAAAATTTCACTATATTCTTACATAAAGGAAAATCTATTTCAGGATTTAAAAATGTAGTTCTTTATGACAAATATTTAGTCAGTGCAAACTTTGATTGTTAGCCTCAAAAAGGTCATCTTGTAAAGGAATCTTAAGGTCTCTAACCTACAGTTTTGTTACTCAGAAATGAATTAAGTGCAGTTCTTTATGGACACAGGCTACCCATGCATAAAGAATTGTAGCACAGGGGTCTTGGATTAGAGTTCTGCTGTGAAAAGTGACAATATAATTCAATTAACTGTGAATAATAGGTATTCTGTTCTAATTTGTGCATCAACAGAATATAGGTGAATGCATATCTTCTGTAGAAACACTATAAAGAATGAGATTGTTGTGCCTTTCAAGGTGCATTACAAGATGGTAGATTTGTACTTCTGTGGTACTGCATGCCCAATGTCCACTCTCTTCTGTGGAAGCTGAGAGTGCTTCAGACCCTAAATGAGGGCAAAAGCCAATACTGTAACTATGGAAGAACTTCATCCTGAACACCTATTATGCTATTGTAACAAACTTAACTGATGCTATTTCAAATCACTTTTCAGAGTAAATCTGCACTTCATAGAAACTTTCAGTGAACTGACCAGGAGAAGCTCTCTAATGTTCTGCAAAATGGAAATAAATTTTTATGTCATTGACTTGAAGAAAAATACTTGAGCTTTAATAGAATAATGTATTATTACTAAATCTTTTTAACTATTAACTTTTATGTATAGAGGTCTAGCTATTTTTCTAAAAAATCCCTAGAAATAAGATTGGTGAAGTTTAGGAGACAATACTGGGGGACGACGACCAGATCCTTGATACTTAGGATTTTGGCATTTCAAGAAAACAATCTCAGTATCTATGATTAAATTGCCTTAAAGTAAATAAACAAAAACAACTTGCAGCTTAAACAGCTAGGTCTTAGTGAGTCTAGTGGAAATGTAATCAGTTGGTTCCTGAAGCTCCTTGGAATTAATGTAGTTGGGAGGTGTGTTCACACACAGCTCAACCAAGAATGGAGGAAGGAGGGAAACCTTTTGTAAGCCTAAAAGCCTTTCAGTCCTAATGGAACCAGAAGAGGTAGCTAAAGTTTTCTGATATAGAGGCCTCTTTAAGTCCTGTCTACAGTAAGACTTTTGGAAATTTCAGAGTGTTGGGAAATTTCTTACTGGTGGCAACGCTAGTGTGATCAAGGTTCCAGCAGCTACTGTGTTTTTTTATCCCTGCTGTAAGCAGAGGTAGATCACATGCATCTTAAAATGCTGGCAGCTGCTGAACTCTGCCATTATGGAAAGGGCTAACTCACTGTTAGCATCAGTTGAGCTTTACTAATAGTATTTACAGGGAAATTTTAGAGGAAGATACCCATGTTAGTATTTTAGTAATGTTAAGGTGTAGGTGCCATGGGATCCCAGTAGATATCTAGTTTTCCTTTTTAAAAATGGAAAAAAAATAAAATGGTATCAGTCACAGATAACTACCTCATACCTGAAGTGCTGTGGTGGTAACTTCTAGTTGGGAACAATCCAAGGGTGCGAATTTTAAGCAACCCTTTTATCTCTACATGACCTGAGAGATTTAAAAACTGGAAACTCTTGGCGTAAACTGAGTCTCAAAAAACAATTATCCAAAAGCAGAGGTACCCTCTTCATTTTTTTATTTTTGTTTTTTTTCTTCATTTTTAGAGTGGTGAATCGAGGATCATATCTCATTATCATTATACAACATGGCCAGATTTTGGAGTGCCTGAGTCCCCAGCTTCATTCCTTAACTTCTTGTTTAAAGTGAGAGAATCTGGTTCGCTGAATCCTGAGCATGGACCTGCTGTAATTCACTGTAGTGCTGGGATAGGACGCTCTGGCACATTTTCATTAGTAGACACCTCTCTTGTCCTGGTAAGTGTGTGTGGTGCTTTTGGTTTATATTTGAGCTCTTTGATGAGAAGGCCTTAATAATCACATGTGTATAAATAAGCCACACATTTCCGAAGGTAAATGAAGATACTGTGGAAACTAATTAATTTCTGACATTTATTCTGATGGAGTACATCAACGTATGAAAATTTACATTATTTCCACAAATGTGGGATAGTAGAAGTTCTTCACAATAGTCCTTTTCTCAGACTGCTGATCTTAATGCCTGTTAGGCTTTATAAACCTTGTATCAGAGATTTGTAATTTTGCACATATCTCTTCACTATTACCTGAAATTTGTTTGATCAAAATCTGACTAGAAGTGGACTTTGCTTTCTGATTTTAGAAAACTTGAAGGGAAACAGCAGCATAGATAGGAAAATGGTGAAATGAAACGAAGCTTGTTGGGATTTTTTGGTGGTTCTAGTATTTCTGTAACTTAAAAAAACCCTAAATCTGAAGTGTTTAGTTTTACATAAAAACTTGGAGAGAAAAGCCACTATAGCTATTTCAAAATATTGTCTAGTATCAGATTAGTGTTCCTAATTCTTGAGAGGGAAAATTCCTTTAAAAGGACATGATCATGAGTTGAATTACTGGATATATATTGCACTGTTTTACAAAATGTATAATGGCTTGGTTCTCTCTCTTTTTTTTTCCTGTCCATATGTTGTCCCATAGTCCTGTTGAATGCGTCTCTGTAACTAAGCACCAAGTCTTAGTACAGTATTCTGAACTATTGTGCCCTGATCTTTCATCTCAGATGTATTCATGAGTAAAGTTAGGTGCATAGAAGTGTATTAAGAGTCAAGGCTTTAATTGTTACTACATGTTGGGCCTCTTAACATTAAAAAGGTCGCAGAGTAGTTTTTAAACTAAGAGATGGGGGAAAGCCGATTGGTGCAGAGGAGCACGTGGATCGGACAGAGATGTCTGTTAGAGGAGAGTCTATTGATAGAGATTCTCTAGGTTTTAGTCAGGAGGAGAGGATGGAAGATGATAAAGTATGGGCCAGATCAGACCAAAAACATTCACATAAAAAAGAATCTGACACATCAGAAAAGGGTAGATAAATAAACAGTGACAAGTTTTTAAAGTGCTTGTACACAAATGCTAGAAGTCTAAAAAATAAGATGGGTGAACTAGAGTGCCTCGTGTTAAAGGAGGATACTGATATAATAGGCATCACAGAAACCTGGTGGAGTGAGGACAATCAATGGGACACAATCATTCCAGGGTACAAAATGTATTGGAAGGACAGAATAGGTCGTGCGGGTTGGGGAGTGGCACTATATGTGAAAGAAACGTAGAATCAAATGAAGTAAAAATCTTAAATGAATCAACATGTTCCATAGAATCGCTATGGATAGTAATTCCATGCTCTAATAAGAATATAACAGTAGGGATCTATTCTCGACCACCTGACCAGGACAGTACTAGTGACTATGAAATGCTAAGGGAAATTAGAGAGGCTGTCAAAATAAAGAACTCAATAATAGTGGGGGATTTCAACTATCCCCATATTGCCTGGGTACGTGTCACCTCAGGTCGAGATGCAGAGACAAAATTTCTTGATACCTTAAATGACTGCTTCTTGGAGCAGCTGGTACAGGAACCCACAAAGGGAGAGGCAATTCTCGATTTAGTCCTGAGTGGTGTGCATGATCTGGTCCAAGAGGTAACTATAACAGGACCACTTGGAAACAGTGACTATAATATTATAACATTTAACATTCCTGTGGTGGGAAGAACACCTCAGCAGCCCACCACTGTGGGATTTAATTTCAGAAAGGGGAACTATGCAAAAATGAGGAGGTTAGTTAAACAGAAATTAAAAAGTACAGTGACTAAAGTAAAATCCCTGCAAGCTGCATGGCCGCTTTTCAAAGACATCATAATAGAGTCCCAACTTAAATGTATACCCCCAATTAAAAAACATAGCAGAAGAATTTAAAAAGAGTTCCTAATTAACTGTCAGGGTGGTCAAACACTGGAATAAATTGCCCACGGGAATTGCGGAATCTCCATCCCTGGAGATATTTAAGAACAGGTTAGACAGACACCTGTCAGGGATGATCTATATCAGCCATGGCCAATCCATGACTCGCAAGCCGCACATGGCTCTTTCCCCCCTGAAAGTGCGGCTTGTGAAACCACCCCTGTGCCTCTGAAAATGGCCCCCAGCTGCCTGTGCTCATTGGGGCAGAGGAGCCATCTTGCGCGGCCATTCAAAATGGATTTTTCAAGATGGTGGTCGCCAGCAGGAGCCTAATGTGACCTAAAAAAAGCCTGTAACTGCATTTCTTAAACGGGCAGCCTCAATGACTGTCAAAGATTGAAGTGTCATTAGAGGCGGTTTTGGAACAAACTGATAAATTTAACAGTAACAAGTCACCAGGACCGGATGGCATTCACACAAGAGTTCTGAAAGAGCTCAAATGTGAAATTGCGGAACTATTAACTATGGTTTGTAACCTATCCTTTAAATCAACTTCTGTACCCAGTGACTGGAAGATAGCTAACGTAACGCCAATATTTAAAAAGGGCTCTAGAGGTGATCCCGGCAATTACAGACCAGTAAATTAAGTTGTCATAGGATAAGAGGGAAGATCCTTTCATGGACGGAAAACTGGTTAAAAGACAGGAAACAAAGGGTAGGAATAAATGGTAAATTTTCAGAATAGATAGGGTAACTAGTGGTGTTCCTCAAGGGTCAGTCTTAGGACCAATCCTATTCAACTTATTAATAAATGATCTGGAGAAAGGGGTAAACAGTGAGGTGGCAAAGTTTGCAGATGATACTAAACTACTCAAGGTAGTTAAGACCAAAGCAGACTGTGAGGAACTTCAAAAAGATCTCACCAAACTAAGTGATTGGGCAACAAAATGGTAAATAAAATTGTGTGGATAAATGTAAAGTAATGCACATTGGAAAAAATAATCCCAACTATACATCTAATATGATGGGGGCTAATTTAGCTACAACTAATCAGGAAAGAGATCTTGGAGTCATCGTGGATAGTTCTCTGAAGACGTCCACGCAGTGTGCAGCAGCAGTCAAAAAAGCAAACAGGATGTTAGGAATCATTAAAAAAGGGATAGAGAATAAGACGGAGAAGATCTTATTGCCCTTATATAAATCCATGGTACGCCCACATCTTGAATACTGCTTACAGATGTGGTCGTCGCATCTCAAAAAAGATATACTGGCATTAGAAAAGGTTCAGAGAAGGGCAACTAAAATGACTAGGGGTTTGGAACTGGTCCCATGGATGAGACGAGATTAAAGAGACTTGGACTATTCAGCTTGGAAAAGAGGAAACTAAGGGGGGATATGATAGAGGTCTATAAAATCACGAGTGGTGTGGAGAAAGTGAATTAGGAAAAGTTATTTACTTGTTCCCATAATATAAGAACTAGGGGCCACCAAATGAAACTAATGGGCAGCAGGTTTAAAACAAATAAAAGGAAGTTCTTCTTCATACAGCACATAGACAGTCTATGGAACTCCTTGCCTTAGGAGGTTGTGAAGGCTAGAACTATAACAGGGTTTAAAAGAAAACTAGATAAATTCATGGAGGTTAAGTCCATTAATGGTTATTAGCAGGGCTTGACAAATGGCAGCGAAAGCTGCTCGCCAGCCCCGCACTGCGCATGCGCAAGAGCCGCATTGCACGTGTGTGCCACTGGTAAATGGGGCGCACGGCTGAAATCTATAGTTTGCCGAGCCCTGGTTATTAGCCAGTAACGGTAAGGAATGGTGTCCCTAGCCTCTGTTTGTCAGAGGGTGGAGATGGATGGCAGAAGAGAGATCGCTTGATCATTACCTGTTCGATTCACTTCCTCTGGGACACCTGGCATTGGCCACTGTCGGCAGACAGGGTACTGTGCTGGATGGAGTTTTGGTCTGACCCAGTATGGCCATTCTTATGTTCTCCCTAGTCTGGCACCCTCTGGACCTAACCAGTCCAAAAGGAGGGAGCTTGCCAGACCAGGTGAGGTCTGGGGGTCTCCCAGGCGGGCTGCCAGCTTCCTGACTGGGCTCATCTCCTGACTGCCCGCCCTAGCCAGGCTTGCTGGTGTTGGCTGCTGCCCCAGCTCTGTTCCTGGGCCCCAGCCAGACTCCCTGCTCCCCGCTCCCCAGCTGCTGGCCTGGCTCTTGCCACTGACTCTCCAGCCCATCCCAGCTCCAAGGCCTGACTGGGCTCTGGCAATTGGTCCCCACACTCTTGCTTTCCCCTGCCCACAATCACCAGATTTGCTCTGCATGCCACGACACCCCCAGCTGGTCCGGGCTCTCTGATCCAGCAATGTCCATTGTCTGTGCAGATTAGAGTCCCACTCCAGAGAGGTTCAACCTGTAGCATATTGGCTTTTGTGGATTTTAACTCCAATTAGATTTTAACTTACATATATTAGAGAGTTAGTTATTCTCTTGAGAAATCAAATTAGAAATCAGTTTCAGATGTTAATTTCTTGTATAGCTATAACAAAGTTGGTAAAAAGATTATTATGTAGAAATTGTATTACTGAAATGTGTTGATTTTTTTGCTTATTTTTTGGTACTTTTAAAAAACAGTTGTACTACTTATTCCCTAATTTGTGAAATCTTATTAATTAACAGATGGAAAAAAAGGAGCCTTCTTCTGTAGACATTAAACAAGTATTATTGGATATGAGAAAATACCGCATGGGACTTATTCAGACACCTGATCAGCTGAGATTCTCATATATGGCTGTAATAGAAGGAGCAAAATTTATAATGGGGGATTCAACTATACAGGTAAATGTTTAGCGTTAACTGAATCTACTGTAAAAATCTAAATTTGCAATGTTTCTCATATCAGTAAGGCTACGTCTACATTGGCCCCTTTTCCGGAAGGGGCATGTTAATTTCAGCGATCGTAATAGGGAAATCCGCGGGGGATTTAAATATCCCCAGCGGCATTTAAATAAAAATGTCCGCCGCTTTTTTCCGGCTTTTAGAAAAGCCGGAAAAGAGCGTCTACACTGGCCCCAATCCTCCGGAAAAAGCGCCCTTTTCTGGAGGATCTTTGAAGTAGGATCTCTGTGGGAGGCAGTGGGGGAGGGGAGTTGGCCTAAAAGCCACTTCCTCACACATGTCTGCTTTCTCTCCCCCCCCCATCACCCCTTGCACTGCTGCTTTTGATAGAGGCAGCAGCACGGGGGGCAGGCAGCTCTGTTGGAGCCAATATGTTCAGTCAGCCAGCTTCCTGTGTGTACTGGCTCCCGCCCCCTCCCTTCTTTTCCCCCCCC